AAATGCTCCTGAAAGCAGGAGTGATGGCGTCTGTGAAATTGTTGCTTCATTCCATTTTTAATTTATAGCACTAATGAGATACGCTGTACAGCATCGAGGGTAAGTTTTTGTCTCACACCGCTATTAGTTTATCATCTGTAGCTTCGCCCAAAAACAAGTCTAAAAAAACACTAAGCACCGAAATCCAGAAAATCGAAGAGTTTCTTTTTATCAGCAGGGTTACGCGTGATATTTATTTTTACGAGGGCATCGTCCCCTGAAGATAGAGCTTTTATTATGTTGGTCTTTTAACAATCCAGTCCGAAGATGAGGAATTTCAATAATTGCATGAAGGCCCTCGTTACTTACCGGCTTCTTTATATTAGGTTGCAAAATAATGAACATATCCTATGCAGGCCCGGAAGTATGAAAAATGTGACAGGAATAAAAGTACAGCATATATATAAAGTGCGCCTTTGCTGGATACGTTGATGCTGCATACTTCATTTTCATGTTGCAATAGGACATATTGGAAGAAGAGATTTTTATTTTTTTAAATGGTATTAATTTATTCAGACGAAAGCATTCAGGTGCCTATCAAACGCGAAATGTGATCGTCAGCGTCCCGCGTTCAAGGCGTCAGTGCGGCGCTGCAAAAAATCACCATTTGATGTCTTCACCGTGTCACGTCACAGTGACGTCATATTTATTTAACGTGGCGTAACGCTACATGGTGACTTCATCACATGGCGCGATCATGGAGGCAATCCACAGTCTTGTCGTGAGTGTGTGCGGGTGGGTTTTGTTTTGGTTAGCTTGAGCTCGAGTGACTTCACTTGAAAAAAAAAAATAGTGAGTCTCAGTCCAAGTGATTCGGGAGCGCAAGATACAATTCTTGAGTGAGTCTCAGTCAGTTGCATTTACATTTTCCGGCCCGTGAAACTATTTACTCATCTTCAGCATTTCTGTCTGCATTACCTAGATTCACGTTTATGATAACGTCTACTCGCCCCGCCGCGGTGGTCTAATGGCTAAGGTAGGCGGCTGCTGACGCGCATGTCACGGGATCAAACCCCGGCTGCGGCGGCTCCATTTCTGATGGAGGCGAAAATGTTGTAGCCCTATGAGCTGAGACTTGGGGTGCACGTTAAAGGACCCCAGGTGGTCCAAATTTCCGGAGCCCTCCACTACGGCGTCTCTCATAATCATATGGTGGTATTGGGACGTTAAACCCCACAAATCAAGCAATAACGTTTACTCACACGTATTCCAAAGGCGCATAGTTCTTACATCATTTCAATATTTATTTATCAGAGGCGTAAATAACGTAAGAGTTGGATAAACTGCCACCCCCCTCCCCACGGCCAACCTATTCTAGCAACCGCAAGCTCTTGATACATATATTTGATGTTATCATTTCAAGAAAAAAATCGGATGCCGCGTACCTTCGGTATCGACGTTACGCGAAACATAGCGGAACGAAGGTTACCATGTTCTAATTTTTCCTTTTGTCGCATGTTATAAAATTGCGTTATATATATATATATATATATATATATATATATATATATATATATATATATATATATATATATATATATATATATATATATATATATATATATATATATATTGAAGGGGAGGCACCACAGGTCCGGGTATTTTCTATATTGAATGAACTTGCAGATAGCACATGTGAAAAGGAAATTGTCTTTACTAACGTTTCAGCCATGCCACGGCCAAAACGCGATACGATAGTAAAGACAATTTCCTTTTCAAATGTGCTATCTGCGAGTTCATTCTATCTATCTATCTATCTATCTATCTATCTATCTATCTATCTATCTATCTATCTATCTATCTATCTATATATATATATATATATATATATATATATATATATATATATATATTTCTATATATAAGTATATGATATATATAAGTTCGCTAAGTTGAAGAAAGAATAAATTCAGTTTTTCACATCGTAGCAGTGCTTGCTCAAGCGGTCATTAACGCCCCTACCAGTCTTTTTTTGTGTAAACCGGGCAACATAATATCACAGAGGGAACATCTAGAGGACAGCTAGGGCGCATTCAACAAACTTAGTTGCAAGCTGCTTTACACAGGTGCGTTGCACCTGCTTCTTGGGGTTTGTAAGCTCACATAGACGACTTAGTTTATCTGGAACAGATAACACTGAACGCACACTTTCTCTCTGGGCTATCTTTTTGAAATGGTTTGAGATTTCATGTACATGTGGTATGACACTAGTTTTTCCAGCATCGGGCTCACCATTGGTCTGCGGCTGTCCTCGCATACGTGGACCTTGCAACAGACACTCACCTGCCGACACCTGCAGTAACACTGTAGATAGCCTAGCAAGGATAATCGCTTGCGTTGTCCTGCAAAATTAGCGGCCATAGCTTGATCGCGTGAGTTCATCAGAGCATTCTTAAAAAACAGTCGGGCAATTCCTTGTTTTATCAGCTTTAAATTCACTGAGTTGTACTGCAAGAGAGGCTTCTTTGACCATTGTTCATAGCACCAGCAAGTGTGCTCAAGTGAACAAGACAGACGAAGGTCAAGAAAATAGAGATGGCGTCTCCTTGCGGTGTTTCAGACGTCGCTTCAAGTGGAACAAGACACTCGTTAATATTGGCAGGATTTCTGAAACCTGGCATTGAACGTCAACTGAAGTACATGTGCACTGAATGACATTCAGGCAATTGTCAACATAACGAAAATGCTTGCCCACCTTTGTCTGAGTGACCTTATCGGAAAGAACATCATCAAGATGGGTGAGAGTAAGTCCCATTGAGGCCGGCTCAAGAATATTTGGTGAGTCTACGTTCGAGTGAGCCCTAAGCGCCAAGTATATTACATGAGTGAGTCTGAGGTCCACAGTTTTCGCCGACCTATGCCTACGCAGTTGAAGCCCGTTTTCCAAGTGTGAGTGCCTCTAGGTGAGTGTCCTCTAATGCCTTTATTGGGATACCTACTTGAACGCAGACATTTCGGTCACTGTTTCTGTATATCTGTCTGACATATTATTTAGCCACCGGGCCAAACTTCAAGGACTTGGTGAACGCGGAGCCATCTTGAACTGGTGGCTGAGTTCATACTGGCGAACATTGTCGATCGAAAAGCAAGTATTACTTACATCTGAGGCGCAAAATCAAAACGTAAGCATTAGGTGGCGAGTTATTTTACCGAAAAAGCTTAGTGTGCCCTAGGCTGCGCTGAAATTTCGACGCTGTGAATGAAAATCTGCTCTGCCACTGATATGATGGTGCCACGTGGCAGTGGCCCTGGCTTCTGCGCAAGCTCATGTTTCCCGATGGAACTGCCCGATGGCATTCACACCTCACGCAGCGTCTTTTATATTTTATCAATGCCATCCACGTGTTGCCAATTTAACATATAGTAGGAGCTATCTGAGGCAAGGCAAAACGTAAATGGCTGCGATATGAAATGAAAGCAACTCCCAAAAACATGCCCCAGGACTCATGTAGTACGACTGGCAGTAAACTAGAGTTTGTCGGCGATATTTGCAGCAAAGGCCGCAGATACGCAGCCAATTTTCATTTCTCTTCTGGTCTTTTTTTGTGCACCGTTGATGAAGGTGGCACGATCAAAACCTGATGTGCATTTCCACTTGTTTCACCAATCGGCAAGATGTCCACCCGTTTTATTCCGGACATTCACGAGTGCTTATACTGATGCTTTTAAGAGTGCTGTACTTGTTTGTGTACCTTTTTGCTTTGTACAGGGTGTAATTGCATTGTCAATTAATGAATGTATCTAACCTACTGTGCTGCCAATTATTTTACGATGAAAAAAATTCCGTAGTGTGCCGAAACAGATCAAGCGCACTGCCGGGGCCGTAGTTCACCATTTACGGTGTTCAGCTGCTAGTTCAAAAGGCCCGGGTTCACTACGGGTCTAGGCAGTAGCATTTTCGATGAATGGAAAAGGCAACAGATCTGTGTACTTGGATTTCGGTACACGTAGGTTCTCTCGCTGCTAAGTGCGCCCCACCGCGGTGGTCTAGTGGCTAAGGTACTCGGCTGCTGACCCGCAGGTCGCGGGTTCGAATCCCGGCTGCGGCGGCTGCATTTCCGATGGAGGCGGAAATGTTGTAGGCCCGTGTACTCAGATTTGGGTGCACGTTAAAGAACCCTAGGTGGTCGAAATTTCCGGAGCCCTCCACTATGGCGTCTCTTATAATCATATGGTGGTTTTGGGACGTTAAACCCCACATATCAATCAAGAGTCAAAAATTAAGCTTTTCCTTGAGAGAGTCATTCTTCATTATATTGGATGACCCATCGCTGGTGTGCCACCGCGCCCACTAGGCGCGGAGAGCGTCTGCCCGGGGTTTATATTGGTGCTCCATGGAACGATGGCGCTGACAGAAGATAGCGTGCCCGAAATCCTATATGCCAGCTGATGACCACGAGGCCACCGTAGTGATAGCGTTGGCGGTGATGCGCGTTCCAGTGCACAGTAGAGGCCGGGCTGGCGCACCCCGTCATGGTGAAGTGACGCGTTCACAGGCAGGTGGCCAGCGCTGCACGATAGTGGAGACCCGGTAGGCTGGTCGAAGTTCTGCAGTAGCATCAGAATCCAGGGCAGCACGAAGAACTGCGTAGTGAAGAAGTCAAGCGGGTTAGGATGGCCCATCGCCGGTGTGCCGCCGAGCGCACTAGGATGTTTGATGTTGTGTTTGGTGGTAAGAATAATATTAATATTGATGGCACCACCAAACACAACATCAAAATGATTTTTGTTAACGAACTCTGCAATTGATTCAAGATAAAATAATATTGCATCAAATGAAAAAGTGAGTTGTTCAAGGAACAAACAAAGATCGGGCTTCTTATCAATTACAGAACAAATATTTAGGTGAAAGCATTTAAATGATATGAGGAACGGTTTCCCGATGTATTACTCAGACACTTGGGGCAAAACATAGGTCTCAACGTTTGTGTCTGCAATTGAGTTAGAAAATCACAGGGCTCTTAGCCTCCTTTACCCGGATTATCTGCGGTAGAAATCACCACCGCCTGCTCACCGTCTGCTTTGCGAACAAGTACCCGACCGTTGTTGTGCCACACATAGTTGTACATTGCCCTTTTGCCCAGTTTTTTGCTTCAAACAGAAGAGCACGTGTTCGTTTAGTCCCATTTTCCTTCATAAAGATCGCATCATTCCTTTCACGTAATTTATTTCGGTTCAACCACCACCGATCCCTATCAGCCTGCTTGGTAAAGTGACAGATAATACCGGGGATTTTATCTTTCTTAGACGGTAGGCGGTGAACCACGACCACGTCGTTTGCCGATAGCTGTGGGAGCTCAAGTTGTGTGGCGAGTTCGTTTAGCTTGTCAATCAAGTTTTCTTTTTCTGTCTGTTTATTGCCATGAAATTGAAGGTTAAGGCAGCGGCTTTTCCATTCGAGGGCGTTGATTTCAGCTTGGAGCTGATTAACATCGCTTTCGCTTTTCTCAAGTATTTCAATGCGGCGTCTGAGTTCTTTCATTTCCCGCCCCGCCGCGGTGGTCTAGTGGCTAAGGTACTCGGCTGCTGACCCGCAGGGCGCGGGTTCGAATCCTGGCTGCGGCGGCTGCATTTCCGATGGAGGCGGAAATGTTGTAGGCCCGTGTGCTCAGATTTGGGTGCACGTTAAAGAACCCCAGGTGGTCTAAATTTCCGGAGCCCTCCACTACGGCGTCTCTCATAATCATATCGTGGTTTTGGGACGTTAAACCCCACAAATCAATCAATCAATCAATCAATCAATCAATCGAGTTCTTTCATTTCCTGTGCATGTTTCTCGGTAGTTTTCCGCAGTTCATCATACTGCTCCGACCAAAATTGCAAGGAATCCTCTATGCCCTCTACTACTTCCTTAAGTGGCAACAATTGGTCAAGCTTAGAACATATGTTTTTTAAAATTATGCGAATATTTTGCTGGTCTGACTCATTACTTTCAATTGCTGATTGCAGTCGAGTTCTCTGTGTCCTACAAGACGTACAGCGCCAAGCTTGGCGATACACCTCCCGTTTTGTTTTGAGCGTTGTCACCCAAATTCCCGAAAATTATCCGGTGTGAAAAGTTCAAGTACAGTCACTACACACAACAAAAGGGTGCGATTCCGTGAGCCGTACCTGACAGTTGAAACATAGCATATTGGACGCCATCATCACTTTTTGGCAGCAGCAGCAGCATCAAGAAGAAAGCAAAGAAGGAAAATAAAAACATTCAACAATACTAACATGCGAAAAAGCAGGTGCTGATTTAGGTGTTGCTTCGCTGCTGCCGCGGCTGCCAATGTGACGCAGTGCCTTGTGTGACTGCTTTATAAGTTGTCCGTCCACCAAGGCACTGTACGACGGCTGTGGCTGGCTCCACTGCAGGTTGTTCTGCTTGGCCACCTGTGATTCAGACGGTGCCTGAAGGCAACTGTGTCTGGCTCCCATGGGCTTTGTCGACCGCGCCGCCCCTTCGTCAGCAGCAGAATTTCGGTGAAAGCGGTATCAGGAGAGCCGATCTGCGAAAAAGCAGGTGCTGATTTAGGTGTTGCCTCGATGCTGCCGCGGCTGCCAATGTCACCATCCTTTTATCTGGATGGTGCTGATGTCACCATCCATACATGTCTACCATCCTTTTTATTATCACAAATTTTTGTCATTCATTAACACGACACACTTTTCACGGCATGGTCATGATTTTATTGCCTCTCTGTTTTTACTCGCTTTAGCGCGAGGAAGTTTATGGCCTTATACAGCCGCTTATCACAATCATTGTACGTATCTCTAGCAAGATGAACTGGCGCTCTTTGGCCATGAAACGGCCTTTACGCCCCCAAAAATCAAACATCAACACTAACCTCATAAAACATACTACGGGCCCCTACAACGCCAAGGAATCACGCATTGAATATGGTCACCTTGTCACCATGCCGCCATTCTCCCGCATCGTCATTTCCGTTGGCACCGAAAAAGTCAAGAGCCTTGAAGGTGCCGTCGAAGGCTTCTTCTGTACAGTGAGATTTGGGCCGCAAAAGGCATAGCTGAGCTGCGTGACGGCAAAGCAAGGGTGATGCTGACAAACTTCAGTCACGAATACAGGCACCTAATTGTGGTACGATGGTTCGCTACATCGACAAATTCGTGGAGACCAGCAATTGATTCGCCCTCTTCGATGCTGCCAATTCTTCTTCGACGAATCGAGGTCCGAAACCAGGTTTTGACGTCACCCCGAGTCTTTCAAAGTTCAAGCAAGACCAGCTCAAGTCTCTGCTCTTGCGATTCAAGGACTGCTTCTCGTCATCATCGAGAATTAGGCAAACCCAAGTCACAAAACGTCGAATCATAACAGAAGAAAGTGCCTGACCAGTTCGACAACGCCCATAGCGAGTCTCGACTCGCCAACGCGACGCCGTGAAGAAACAACTCGATGAAATGCTACTCGACATCACTCAGCCGTCCAAGAGTCCGCAGGCATCACCCGTGGTGTTAGTGAAAAAGATGGACGAAACCCTTGGTATATGTGCTGATTACCGCCGCCTGAACAATATCCGAAAGAAGGACGTGTACCCTATCTGACGTATAGACGAAGCACTGGACCGTCTTCACAACGCGAAGTAGGTTTCTTCGACGGATCTCAAAACGGGCTATTAGCAAATTGAGGTTGACGAGAGAGATCAAGAGAAGGCCTTTATCACACCAGACGGCCTCTTTGAATTTAAGGTCAGGCCATTTGGCCTTTTCTTAGCACCTGCGACGTTCCAGCGCGTTATATACACCGTTCTGGCTGAGTAGAAATGGTGGACTTGTTTCGTGTACTTAGACGACGTCGTCGTGTTTTCCTCGAGCTTCGACGAGCATCTCCGGCGCCTTGAAGCGGTATTTCAAGCAATCGAAAGGTATGAACTAACCCTGAAGCCAGAAAAAAGCCGCTTGCGTACGAAGAGGTGTTGTTCCTGGGACACAAGATTAGCAAATCTGTAGTTCATCCGGTCCTGCGGAAGACAGCCGCCATCGCTGATTTCCCGCAGCCCACTGACAAGAAGGCTGTATGCTATATCCTCGGATTGTGCGTCTAATACAGGCGTTTTAATAAAATTGTTTCACAGATCGCTGAATCGCTAACTCTTCTCACAAAAAGCAATGTGGAATTCAAATGGGAAGGGTTACAATAGGCAGCATTTCAAGAACCTAAACGACGCATCCAGACACCATTGATGATTGCGCTTTTCGATGAACATGCCGAAACAGAAGTACACAGCAACACAAGCAGCGTAGGACGCGGTGCCGTCTTTCAATGGGGTACTGAAGGCGTGGAAGCGTTATCAGTTATGCTAGGTGGTCACTAAACAAAGCTGAAGCCAACTATATAAACAAAAAAGAGTGTCTTGCCATCACCCTAGCAGCGCGAAAGTTTCGCCCCTACGTCCAAGGCCCGCCTTTCAAAGTTGTGAGTGACCACCACGCCTTATGTTGGCTAGCTAACTTGAAAGATTATTTGGGTCACCTCGCACGGCGGATCCTCAGACTTCAAGAGTTTGACGTGACCGTCACTTACAAATTTGGAAGAAAAAACTCCGACGCCGTCTGCTTGTTTCGCGCCCCCATCGAACCACCGCCACCCGATGGCCTGGATGAGGACAGCTTATTAACAACAATAACTGCCGACTTTCTCAGCGAGCAACATCGAGCAGACTCAGAACTCAAAAGCCCAAAAGCCTTGTGGAGTAGCTCGAGGGTAACAGCACGACTGTCGGCACGACATCTTGGTCTGACGGCAGGACACCTTGGTGTTTCCCGTATACACTTGCTAAGATACAAGAAAGGTACTACCGGCCACGCCTTACCGCCGACGTCACTCGTTACGTCAGGACATGCTGAGACAGTCAGCGACGCAAGACACCAACGACAAGGCCAGCAGGCTTTCTTCAGCCGATCGAACCACCTTGCCGACCGTTCCAACAAATCGGGATAGACCTACTGGGACCACTTCTGACATACAAATCGGGAAACGAATGGATCGTCGTAGTTACTGACTACATCAGCCACAACGCAGAAACAAAGGCCCTACCCCAAAGTAGTGCCTAAGAGGTAATATCTTCCTTCGTCATGGTGCCCCAGAAGTTGTCATCACAGACAGGGATACGGCCGTTACTGCAGAGCTAGCCCACGCGATTTTGGCATAAAGCCAGACAAGCCACCGCGTAACGAACAGCTTACCACCTACAGACCAGTGGCCTCACTGAGCGCCTAAACAAGACCATTGCCGACATACTAGCCATGTACGTCGACGTCGACCACAAAACTTGGGATGCCATTTTTTCATACGTGACCTTCAAATACAACACCGCCGCACAAGAAACGACGCAGATGACGCAGAACAAGTTGGTCTACGGAAGGACTGCAGCAACGGCACTCGATGTCATGTTACCGAACGTCACTGAAGATGAAAGATTCGATGTGAGCGAGTACCTTCAGTGCACCGAAGAAACCCGACAACTCGCCCACCTCCACATCAAGAACCAACAGACGATGAACTGCCGCCGTTATAATCTTCGACGACGCTTTGTGGAATACCAGCCCGGTGAACGTGTTTGCGTGTGGATGCCGATACGCCGACGTGGACTCATCTAAAAACTTCTGCGACGGTATTTTGGACCATACAGGATAATTCGACGTCTCGGCCCACTTGATTGCGAGGTTGTCACGGACGGCATCACGAACTCTCAACGACGCCAATCGCTACCTGAAGTCCTTTATGTAGCGCGCCTCAAGCCGTTTCATGCGCGTTAACGAACTGAAACAGCGTATTTTGTTGTGGTTATTGTTATTTCTGAATGGCAATGTATTGCTTGTACTTTCTTGCATTATTTTTTTGTACTTTCATCTTATGTTAAAGCATTGGGACGACGCCTTTTTCAGAGGGCGGCAATGTCATGTTCCTTTCCTCAAGTTTTGCTGTCGCCCCATCACGCTGTGTTCAGCGCAAACCGCGCCTGCGGTGTTAGAGGAGCTCCGAGTTTGTAGTAGATTTTTTTGTTAACAATATGTCCACTTCATGAATCTCTCAAATTATTCTGGAACCTAAATCACCGCTATGGATAACGCTATTATGTTCGATGGCAAGTGTGTAAGTACTGACAAGCTTCGCCGCTTGTCATTTGAACAACGACCAACGCTCCATTCATCTTTATCAGTGCCAGTGACTTACTTTTCTTTTGCGTGGCCACATTTTCGTCCGAATAAACAGTTTTTTCATCGATCTGGAGTCTGTTTCCTCCATTCACGTCGCGGCCTCGTGGGAAGAGTTTCTGTGATTTTGTAACCGACTCTGCCAAGTCTAGTCGGACAAGGCCTCGGAGCTGATGCTGATGCTGATGGCCTTAGATAGATAACGCTCACCCACAGACGGGGATGCACCAAGAACCGGACGGCAGGATACTTCAATGAAACTAAAATGAAATTAAAGTCAATCTGAAAAATTAGTTCAGAGATAACACTAACATTAAACGAAAATGTTTGCTGAGCAAGCGGTCAAACCATCTCTTGTTTTTAACAGACATCGCTACGAATTATAATTTTAACATCAGAGAAGGTTAGGGCTCACTATCACGGTGATCTTTTAGTTGCATTGGTGTAATAAAACACAGCGGAGCATATATCCCTGTGGCAGTAACCAAATGAGGTGCCGTTAAGTCCAAATACAAGTAATGGTAGATTTACATGTATTCCTAGCTTTTGTAATGGGGCTACTAAAGGTCTTTTTTTCTGATAAGAGTAAGGACGACAGAACAAAAAGAGATGTACTCAGAGACTTAGACAAGCCCGTTTCTTTGTCTTTCTTATCATCATCATCATCATCATCATCATCATCATCATCATCATCATCATCATCATCATCAGCCTGACTACGTCCACTGCAGGACAAAGGCCTCTCCCATGTTCCGCCAGTTAACCCTGTCCAGTGCTTGCTGCTGCCAATTTATACCCGCAAACTTCTTAATCTCATCTGCCCACCTAACCTTCTGTCTCCCCCTGATCCGCTTGCCTTCTCTGGGAATCCAGTTAGTTACCCTTAACGACCAGCGGTTATCCTGTCTACGCGCTACATGCCCGGCCCATGTCCATTTCTTCTTCTTGATTTCAGCTATGATATCCTTAATCCCCCTTTGTTCCCTAATCCACTCTGCTCTCTTCTGGTCTCTTAAGGTTACACCCACCATTTTTCTTTCCATTGCTCGCTGAGTCGTGCTCAATTTAAGCTGAACCCTCTTTGTAAGTCTCCAGGTTTCTGCTCCGTAGCTAAGTACCGGCAAGATACAGCTGTTATACACCTCCCTCTTGAGGGATAGTGGCAATCTACCTGTTATAATTTGAGAGTGCTTGCCAAATGTGCTTTATCCCATTGTTATTGTTCTAGTTACTTCATCCTCGTGGTTCGGCTCCACGGTTATTAGCCGCCCTAAGTAGACACAGTCTTTTACAACTTGAATTTCATTATTACCTATCTCGAAGCGCTGCTCTTTTCCGACGTTGTTGTACATTACTTTCATTTTCTGCAGATGCATTTTAAGACCCACCTTTCTGCTCTCCTTGTCTAACTATGTAATCATGAGTTGCAATTCATCCTCTGAGTTACTCAGCAATGCAATGTCATCGGCGAAGCGCAGGTTACTAAGGTGTTCTCCATTAACTCTAATCCCTAATTGTTCCCATTATAGGCTTCTGAAAACCTCCTGTAAGCACGCGGGAAATAGCATTGGGGAGATTGTGTCCTCCTGCCTTACACCCTTCTTGATTGGTAATCTGTTGCTTTTTTTATGAAGCACTATGGTAGCAGTTGATCCCTTGTAAATTTCTTCCAGTATGTTAATATATACTTCATCGACGCCCTGATTCCGCAGTGTCTGCATGGCGGCTGATATTTCTACTGAATCAAATGCCTTCTCGTAATCT